TGCCATGTCCTTACAGACCTCCTGGTAGCCCCCCAGCTCCCTCTTGGCATTTGGATACCCCTAGCTCCTTGGCTCCCTTCCAACCACTGGTTAGGCCTTGAAGGAATGGACAGTGGCCATGGACACTTTCAGCCAACCCACCTGAGCCCTTTTATCGGCTTGTGCCCAAGTGACCGGCAAGCACCCGCCCCAAGCCCACTCGCTCTGGTTGGGGGCTCCCGCAAGCTGCCGTGCCCAACATTCCCAGTCAAGCAATGCCCTGCAAAAAGCCCCATGCAGTTGCAGCTGCTTTCCTGGTGCCCACCTTCGGGTCCTTTCCAGGTATCTGCTGGGGCTGTCGCATCATCGCCTTCCACTCGTCAGCTCGCGCGAGGTTTTCTTCCTTGGTGGCCATGCAGGCTGCGCTCCGAGCTTGGCGCAAACTTCACGCCCCGGCACCAAAGAGGATACTTCAAAGAGTTGTGCCTGCGAATCTATTTGCGCCCCCGGACTTGCCAGCATTCCACCCGCCCCCCGCCTCCCCCACGCTTTTCCCACAAAACCATCCCCTGCCTTCGGAATGTGCGAATGGATTCATGGTACTACGCCTTTCTCCCTCGAAACCAGGGAAGAGACATGCTCCGCCCAGGCCCCCTGTCATCTACGCAATATAACATGCTCATCGAACTCGTTGTTGCATGAGCCCGGTGCAAGCAACCCACTTTTGGCGGATTGCAACTCATTCTCAGCGAGTGCCTGGCACGCAAACGCTCCGCGTCAGCCTTCAAGTCGGCCTGCCTTGGTATTCCCCAGCCAGCAACTCATAAATCAGGCAGGCGCTGAACACTTGGCCCGGCCCAGCAACTGCCCTATTTGTTCTTCGGGAAATTTCTGTAGGGAAGGGCCGGTAGGAGTTTTGCCGAATTTCCGGATGAGAGCAAGCAAATTGTAGAGTGATGAACAGTTGCCAGGAGAAGGAAGGGTGTTGAACTTGGCTTAGCCTTTCTAAGTGCCATGCCGGGACTGGAGGTATTCTTCCTGCTGTTTGACCTGTCCCGCTTGCGAACCTGCCTGCCTGCCTGCCTGCCTGCCTGCCTGCCTGCCTGCCTGCCTGCATGTCAATTAGGTTGGTCTGCGCCGCTGTTTCCAAACGCTTTCCGCACCAACAAGTATCTTCAAATGTTGCTTATGCGCCTTTGGCCACACAAGCAATACAGCAATGCTATCTGGCGCTATGAGCAAGCCTGCTTGGCCAGCAAATCCTTCTCTGCCTGTCAACCGATGTCGGAGGCTCCACTGTTGATAACTTGACGTGATGACGGCCTGTTGGGCAATGCTTGCTACTAGATACCTACGAGGCTGGTGGTTCCAGGTTCGCTTGAGGTGGGCAGCTAAACTGCTTCCAGGTTGCTCCAGGGCAAAGCTTTGCCAAAGACTGTCCACTTGAGAAAAGGCATCGAACACCTAACTTTTGGGTGTAAGAGGGGCAATATTTTTTCCATCATCTCACGCATTCAGAGCAAGCAATCGCACCTCCCCTGGAAACGAGTGTGGTGATGACATATTTCTTCCTGACATTTTTCAAGTGCAGTACACCCGGTGGTCCAGTGACGGTAAACAGGGGCCCTTCTCGCTGACAACTTTTGGAGAGCCCGTCAAACGAAGGACCGACCTGGGGTGCCACCGACCTGGGTTGCTCTTCCCCCTTGCTGCTTGGGCCCAACCTTCTGTGGGTTTAATCTTGGCGGCCCTTAACGAGGGATCACGCAAATGGGGTCGGCTTTGAGCTCTCTGATTGCTGGCCAAGCCACTGTTTCCAAGAGGTCGAGCCTTTCGTTTGAGGTCGGCCCAGCCTTCAGCTGCAACAGCTCCGGCTCAATCTGCCTCACGTTTCCGCATGACGCCGTGGTTGGATGCGTGGCCCATGTTGGAAGGTGCTCCACAGGTTTTTTTCAGAGCCCTCAGGATGGTCAGGTTCAGAAACGTGATCCTTTGAGACGTACTCACGTATCCAAATGGGTGGCCTCGAGAACTGACGCTGAGGCCGGGTCGACTGTCTTCCCTGGACATGCTGCTCACAAACTGCAAGAATTATGAAGCACGGTTGTCTTTTTGAAGGATTAACTTTTCCCCCAGGCAAAGGGGAACATGGACACCACTATGAAGCACCATGGCCATTTTTGCTTGCACCTCTGTCTGGCTCTGCAAGCGCTGGACCTGGCAGGCAGGGCATGAACGCCGCTCGCTAGTTTATCACAGGCTACATCTCTGGGGCGTAATCTCTTTGGTTTATTCGAGTCCAACAGCTCTCCTAGGCCAGTGCAACCTTTTGAAGCAGGTTCGTGACACCTGCCCCGTGCGGTTACAACTTGTCAAAGGAAGTTTAACAAGAACTTCCGAAGCACTGGATCTAATTCGGCTAATTGCCCTAAGACACGCATGAAGCGTGAAAAAACTATGAGCCAGCAACAAACCTTGTGCCAAGACATGAATCCACGAGAGCTGGCAGAGCATCTGACGGCAGGAGGATAGCGGTGGCGCGCACTCTACGATTTCCAATTCGCTCGGTGCAACCCCTGCAGACTTTCGGCTGTTTGTTGGGATTGTGTTTCAGCTTGCGCAAGCAACATGTAAACCCTTTGCGGACTTTCTGTGGGGTCACAGCCTTGAACAACTCAGAGAATTAGTTCATATTCTCAGGGCCAGAGAAAAGGAAGAAAACAAGAAAGACGGAAAAGAAAGAAGGAAGAACTAAATAAGTAAAGGAAAGAAAGAAAGACTGAAAGACCGAAAGGCAGAAAGAAAGGAAGAAACAATCAAAGAAAGACAGAAAGAAAGAAAGAAATAAAGAAAGAAAGAAATAAAGAAAGGAAGGAAGAAAGGAAGGACGACAAGAAAGAAAAAAAGAAAGAAAGCCAGACAGACAGAAAGAAAGGAAGGAAGAAAGGAAGGAAGACAGGAAAGAACAAAAAGAAAGAAAGAAAGAAACAGAAAGAAAGAAAGGAAAAGAAATAAACAAAGAAAGAAAGAAAGAAAGAAAGAAAGAAAGAAAGGAAGGAAGGAAGGAAGGAAGGAAGGAAGAAAGGAAGAAAGGAAGAAAGGAAGAAAGGAAGAAAGGAAGAAAGGAAGAAAGGAAGAAAGGAAGAAAGGAAGAAAGGAAGAAAGGAAGAAAGGAAGAAAGGAAGAAAGGAAGAAAGGAAGAAAGGAAGAACGGACGAACGAACGAACGAAAGAAAGAAAGAGAGAAAGAGAGAAAGAGAGAACGACATAAGTGAATAAAGAAAGACACACTGACATAAAGAAATAGACAAAGCAAGATAAACATCGCGACAGAAGTGTGTAAAACACGAAACTGACCATACGGAAAAGACAGAAACATGGAACTAAACAATAAATAATGTGTATATATATAAAGAAATGAGGACATGCAGACATAACGAAAGAACTAAAAAAGCAAAACACATAACAAACAGCAGAAAGCAGAAAACAGAAGGCATAATGACAGAAACAAAGAACAAACACATAGGGCAACACAACAGAAACAAAGAATCAACGATAATGAGAAACAGAAAGAGACATATAACAAAGAAGAAGATACAGAGAGAAGGAGAGATACAAATAAACAACGAGATATGAAAATAAAGATAGGGCGAAAGAACAAGAGCGAGAGAAGGGAAACAAGGGAATAACAAAGAAAAGAAAGAAAAGCGGGAAAACACAGTGCACTCCAAACTGTTTTTTAAATTACTTTGAACAAATTCTTCCCCCTGGCTCTGCCGGACTTTACTTGCATTTGTTTCTGAGTTTGGGCCCAGCCAGCGAAACAAACGCATGTGACTATCGCAGGGACTTGCAAGAACACTCCACTTGACACATTTTCTATGCGCTATCTAGCTAGCCAACCAACGCGTGCCCATCCTCCCGTGCCTCCTCAACCACACGCCGATGCTCTGTGGTCAATGCCTAGGCCCAAATCTCCTTGGGCAAAACCAAAAAACAGGACCAACCTTCCTCTCACCATTTGGGTGGCTCGTCCTTTTTGGGAATCCCAGCTGTTTTGGTCGGTTTTGACCTCGGAATGCCTTGGATGTGGGCCCTTGGCTCATTTTGCCAGGCCCTTCTCCCCGGCTCGGGGCAGGCTGAGCCCGCAGCTGCCTGCTCCGCCAGGGCCGCTTCGGCTCTGAGGTTGAGGTCCTCGGTCGGCGCATTCAGCTCAGCCCATTTCTGGCCGAAGACGTGCACCATATGGCCATGCGTTGCATAACCTACGGCCATGGCCATTTCGGGGACGAACATCCATTGGCCACCTATTTTGATGGGGTACAGGGTTTTGACCCACAGCCAGATGAAACTGTCAGATTCGTGTGATGGCGAAGGGGCTTCCCTAGGATTGCCTCTGAAATGGGACCCCCCTCATCAACGAGGGAAAGAACTGGACTGAGAAATGCTGCTGAGCCACGGAATGGTCTGCCTCCAGGCTGTTGTACTGCGCACCTGGCCAGCCGGAACCTTTGAATCCTCGTGAACGGGGCTCTAAACGAGTCTTTTTGCAGTTGGTACCCTTTTCTGGTGGCCTGAAAGGGGGACCAGAAATCAGAAAGGGAAACTCACCCCTTTTTTTGTGGGGGGGCGTCCAAGCTGCTAAGCTTGAAGGAGACACATCCATCTATGAGCTCTTGTTTCAAGCTCCGAATGCGTGAGCTGAGGCCAGTCGCGCGGAAAAATCAATGCCTCTCTGACGATCCACTCGCTGAGCTTCTGGCGGACTCCTTCACACCTCAGGCTGCATCCCGTGCGTCAAGCGGATCTTGCGCTGGCCGATTTCTACGGAACAAAAGGACAACTTACCCCTTAAAACTCCCTGCGCCCTGGGGAAGTTAATCTTCTACAGACATGTAGCCCATGCTACCCAAAAAGTTGAAAAGTTGTGTTTTTAAGGAGTAAGACAACTCCAAAGTCAAACTCGTGGAGTTGATTGCTTGGCAATGAACCCAAATCCTGGTGCACAGCGAGAAGCTTTTGCTCAATACATCAAGTCTTGTTCTTCTTCATCTTCTCGATCAAGCATGGCTAAAACCTCCTCAATAGAGGGAATACTCTTCTGGGCCGCTTTCGGCCGCTGTGTGCTTTGCACGCTGTTCTCTGTCAGATTCTCCTTCCTCTCCCCAGGCAGGGTTCGCGCAGGTTTGCTGGCAGTGACTGGCGTGGAATTTGCCTCACTCTCTTCAGGCACAGTGCGCGCAGGCCTGCCAGCAGTGACAGACGATGCATTTTCCTTCCTCTCCTCAGGCACAGTGCGAGCAGGTCTGCCAGCAGCGACAGACGATGCATTTTCCTTCCTCTCCTCAGGCACGGTTCGTGCAGGTCTGCTAGCAGTAACGGACGATGCATTTTCCTTCCTCTCCTCCGGAAAGGTGCGCGCAGGTCTGCTAGCAGCAACAGACGATGCATTTTCCTTCCTCTCCTCAGGCACGGTTCGTGCAGGTCTGCTAGCAGTAGCGGACGATGCATTTTCCTTCCTCTCCTCCGGAAAGGTGCGCGCAGGTCTGCTAGCAGTAACAGACGATGCATTTTCCTTCCTCTCCTCAGGCACGGTTCGTGCAGGTCTGCTAGCAGTAACAGACGATGCATTTTCCTTCCTCTCCTCCGGAAAGGTGCGCGCAGGTCTGCTAGTCGTACCTGAGGCATTGACGGACTGGGCCACATAGCCCTCTGAAGTGCTCTGGGATCTCTTGGCAGACTCCGTGGCATCTCGCCCATTGGAAACCGCAACCTCCGGCTCGGCGCCTGGCCAACTTCAGATTGGGACTTGGACTTGGGACGATGGTTCCCTCTATAGTTGTTTAAGTCCACTGGAAATGTACACAAGTTTCCAGTAGTGCTAGGTTCCCTTCATCACCAACAGGGCAAAATAAAGCATGGTTCTGGATTTGTCAATCTTGTGACCCTTCTTGCGTCCCCCACTTACGGTTTCTTGTTGCTGATTTGGGCCCTCTTTGAAGTCACGTGGGACCATTTGGCATGTGTGCACGTGCGAGCGTGCGTGTGGCTGTTTGTTTGTTTGTGCTGGTCTGGGAGAACGCGCTGTGTAACCAACTTTGAGGTCACCTGGTGCCGATCACTTTGGATGGGACTTGGATCACTTTGCGGCCCCATCGAACAAGTTCTTCCGCGGCTTCCGCAAAAACAAACATATTTAGATGATGGTCTATGCATTTACTAGTAAGTGCTTCCCCAGCAAAACCACATGTTTGGATGAGGGCCTCTCAGTTGTTCAGTGACCCTGAAAACAAAGGGAAGCCTTTTTTGGGAAGACCATGTTAGTGGGGCAGCCACCAAAAAAAAGAAAAAGGGGGCCACTGAACAAAGGCCTTCAGGTAAGAGTCAATACATTGACGAGTGAGTCTGAGCATACTCAATTAGATCCCACGGTTTGAAGTCTGGCGCGGAGCTTCCGAGGGGTTCAACTTGTCTGCTCTTCTTGCGAGGGAATCAGTTCGACGCCGGGTTTATCAAAAACTTCGATTTGCTTAAGCCCCCTGAAAACAATCAAATATTTATTAGTAGTGACAAATTCCCTTGAAAACCAACAAAAGAAAATAGAACACATTCTTGAGCAAATGGAAGAACACCTTGCCCAAGTTTCGTCCAGCGTGCGCACCTTGCTTCCTTCCAACGCGAAGCCCCGCCTGCGTCCAGTGCCTCCCCCAGTTCCACTTGCTTCGCCTTGCTTGGTTGGCCTTCTTCGTAAAACAACGCCGCCAGGAACTCGCGAGCGTTCACGCGATAGTCCTCTCGAGGCGATTTTGGGATCCCTTGGCTCTACTGTGGACGAAATCCTGCGCCACTGTGAATCCACAGGAACCATTCTTGGTTGGTATTTACAGGGGAGTCATCATTAGGTGGTGCAGGATTTCGTCCATCCACAGTATTCCTGTTATGGCCATCCTATGGGATCCCTGGATCCCTTTTTAGAACTGCCCAAACATCAGCCTTTCGGGCATAAGGGATGTCCCGTACATCATTGAGCCATGCATATGTTTAACCCATGCCGGTCCTCCACAAGCACAGGATCCCGGTACACCTCCAGGAGCATGGCTTTGGCATCCGAGGCGCTGGTTCGTTTCTCCGTGTCCCTTGCGCTCATGGCGCGCCTCAGGAAGTAGCTGGCAGAGCCGTGCAGGAACTTTGCCAGCACATCGTCCAAGAATGGCCTTGGCAACTTGTCAAGACCATCACCTTCCTTTGGCAAGCTCCCGCAAACATGTTGCAGAATAAAACAGCTGAACCACGTTTACTCGGTTCAGGGCCTGTTTCCAGCTGGGTATGAGTATGTCCACCAACATTTTCTTGCTGGTGCTCGGTGGGGAGTGAGGGAATGACCCTTTTAAACCCTCCTTGTGGTTTCCTTTCAGGGGACCCCTGGGTTCATTCCCAAACTGGGTCATTCCCTACCTATCGCACCGTTCGCGAAAGTTTTTTCAGGTGTCCCTCTTCCATTCCATCGATGCGGTCGCCTACCAAAGCTAGGTCCTCCAGTAGAGAGCTTAGAATAAGGGTACCAACTTTTTTCTGTAGTCTGTTTTACTAGGGGAACCCTCCCCCGAAAAAGAAAGGGTAAAAGGGCACCTAGCTGGGGGACCTAGCATATATGTACAGATATAGATATTTTCTTGAGCCAACCAAACCAACCAAACCGACAGCTGGTTCTTGAAAAGAACGATGGTTGAAAATAATGGGGAATCAACCCCTAGAAAATAATGAGCCAACCACCAAACCAACCATATAAAGGACAACCACCAAGTTTAGGAGAACCGGAAAAAAAAGAAAAAGAAGAAACAAATGGCCGCCGAGGGTCAGCACCTTGGCGTCCAGGATCCGCAGACACTTTCGCGCGATCTTCTCCGCGGCGGGGCCCAGCTCCCAGACACTGCCGTGGCCCATGAAGCCCGCCTGGGCCATCGTGCGGAATTCCCGGAATTTCCCGGGGTGGGGTTTGGAGGTACCGAAAGAGGACTAAAAAGATGACAAAAAAAGGACCAACAGGGGGCTTGGAAAAGGTGATAAAAGGTGAAATGGGCAAAACTTGCAAATCCAAACCGTTTTCTAGATGACCGGTTTCCTACATTAAAAACTCCCAGGGAGTATCTTGAGGTTTCGGATCCCTCAAAAAGATGAAGGGTGTCTCTCTAACGTGGGTGCTTCCTATTCATCAACCCTGGCCTGGTTCAGGACCTCCCCGGCGACCTCATGCAAATACCGCTCCGCCTCGTCCAGGGAGCTTTTGGCCAGATGTCTCCTTGCAGTTGCAACATTCTCGCAAAATAGGGGGAAACCCACAAATTGAGTGGTTTTCCTTGGAGTTACCTTTCAAACAACCCTGCAAAAGTTATTTTCTCGAAAAAGACGCGCCGACGTGCCGTGTTTGTCACTATAGGAGGGAGGCAACTAGTAACACACATGCAAAATGAGGAACGCATGCACCACTGCACCGCCGGGTCTCTGGGACGACGTCACTCGAGCAGGCTCGGCGTTCGCCCGAGCAGGCTGCATACCCATGGGTTGGCCATACATTGGTGTTCTCGTCGGGGCCACGGGTTTCTTCGGCTTGTCGTCGTCGCTGTCGACGTTGTCCCACCTGCTGTAGTTCAGCCTGTCGCTGTTCTTGGCCTTGAAGGTCCCCAGCGGCGCCAGGCCCGGGTCGAGGTCGCTGCGGTCGAAGAAGTCTTCAAACTTCGCCGGGGCCGCGGACGAGCGGACGACTTTGGGTCTGGGCAGCGCCCGTGGCGGGACCGAAGTGGGCGACCAACTCGGCTCAGGTGCGGGGCTGGGGTCCGCGGCTTCCTTGATCTCCGCCGCCTTGCCGCAAACCTTCTTGTGAGCCTTCCAGGCCTCCTTCTGACAGGTGAAGTTGCAGTAGGCTACCTGGAATCGAAGCCCTTGACTGCACACAAAGCTGTGCATCTTTAAGCTGCTTGCACTTCCTTCGATTCATTGCCCCTTGCTGCATGCCATCAGGGTTTGCCAGTGGCTGCATTTTTGTCCCGCCAAAACAAACCTTCCCGGCTCTGCTCACCAAGCCACTCGGGCGAGTTTCAACTCAAATTCCCAACGTCCAACTCAAAACAGGCTGGGGTACAAAAGGACACTCACATGACCCCTGAGCATTTGGAGGAGGTTAACTCCTCCGGCAAACATCTTTTCTGGAATAAACAAAGACTACAAAATGATAGCTCGATGGACAGTTTCTTCTATCAGTCTGATCACTGGCAGCAGTTTCAAACCAGGGTTGCATTTTTAGATTAGCAAGGTACACTCAAAACCCAGGTGGCAGCCTGAAATGCAGTGGGTGTTCGTAGAAGTCTATCTCCGGGTGATGAAAAACAGAATCCTGCTTCAAACGGTTTGCGCCCTTGAAATGATGAAAACATCTGGAAGCCAACATGCCAACTGGATCAGTACGATAGGTAGGGAATGAGTCGGAATGAATTCCCGAACAATTGAAGCCAGCAGTTGCATGGGATTCTTCATGGTCTCATTCCATTTCTCATTTCCCCACAGGTGTCCTTTTGGAAAAATAGATGGGTCTCCCTGGTAAATGGGGCATAAAACCCATCTAAACCAATGGACCCCGTCTATTTTGAGCACACTAACCGATCAAAGGACACCTATGTGGCCATGGGTCAAAACCCCGTATTCCTAGTGAACATCCCCATCCCCACTAAAATAGACTAATATTGGCGGTGCACCTGCCCCAAAATGGTACCACTGGTCTTGACCCACAGCCATGTGCATCCCTCGCACCGATCGCGCGGTTTAGTCGCGGATTCTGCTTCGCTGCCTGCTTGCAGCTGCCGCACTGCAGCAGCGCACCCACGCGATCGCACAGCTCGCATCTCCGGCTGGAGAGCTCGGCGTTCGGCATCCGGACAACTCGAGTCGAACAAACGGGAGGCTGGCTGGGGTGTTTCACAACATGGGGACCCCAAAGATCGGACCTATCCTTTGGGCTTCCCTTTAAAAGCGAATTTTTATAGGGGGATTTGGAGAACCCCCCCCAAATGGTCCTTGGTTTCTGCGTGCTTCTGTTTCATGCCGTCTTTTGACACCATGCTTTAAATCTGCCCGTTACAAACTGTTGCGCGCAAGGATAGCAACTGAAACCGCAACACGTTCACCATCCCAGAATCTGGTACCCTAGCACGCTACAAATCGAAGTGAGCGCATCTAAGTCAGGTCAGTTGGCTTGCTCAGCGCAATTAATGCCAGGTCTCAGATTAGGGTACTTCGGGTTCAGAACGTGATCGCAGCCGACGGGCCGCTTGCGCACGGGCCAAAACTGCTGCGAGACCCAGCTCGGAGCCAACGGCGCCGAAGTCCCTCAAGTTGCATCGAGGATGTGCGTGTGTTGGTTTAAAGGTGAGCCAAAAGGAACGCAGCCTACATCCCGCGATTTTTCGGGTGTCCAAACCTCTATGTTTACACAGACCCATGTCACTTTCATCACATGGCCATGGGTCAAAATCCAAACCGTATCCCCAGTGAACATCCCAATCCAACCACTAAAATAGGTTCTAACATGGGTGGTGAATTCACCTACCCCACAATGGGATCCCCCTTGGTTTTGACCACCACGGCCAGATCCTGAGCCGCATGCTCAGAGCGCCGCCTGGCCTCTGCCGCCTCACGTGTGCGCAGTGACCCCAGAGGATTTCGCCAGTGACCCGCCTGTGAGTCGTGCAGCTGCTGGCTGAGGACTTGCAGCCTGGGCCAAATGGGGCCGCGAGTAGGGACTCGAAACCGAACACAACGGTGGGCGCGGCTCAACATTGAAGAGCTGGGGCAAACCGCGGCTGTAGTCTTTGCTTCCATCCAGGGCAACCCATTTTGGGTAACCCCCATTCTTGACCCACAGCCACACGGCGGCTTTCCGTGCGCCAATCTGCAAAGGGTATCCTGAAAAAGCGAAAAAAACAAGGGGACAAAAGGAGAAAAAAAAACACCAACAACAACCGGAATTCAAAGATGCATTGCGACTTGTGTGGCGGTGGGGCTCCGAATGGCACCGTTCACATAGCCCGAAGCTTCCCACCGTTGGCACTCCCCGCCGCCCGAGTTTGCAGCTGGCCGCTCAGCCGTTGCCCTTCCGCCTGTCACGGCCGGGTCTGCAACAGAAAGCCCGGCGAAGCGCCGCCTCGTTGGAACGCCATTAGCAGCTACCCCGAAAAGTTCCACACGAGCCACATGGAAAAACAGCCAAAGTCTATGGGCGCATAGAATATTTGTAGGTGGGAGAGGTCCAATGGCACATGGGTTCTCTCTTTGTTCTCCATGAGTTACCCCTTTGATATGTATCTTTGCTTGATTTTCTTAATATTCATCCGAATTAGACGAATCATTCAAACGAATTGAGGTACTCACTAGCCTGCTTTGGTTTCCTTCAAAGCCACCAAAAGAAGCAACAAGGAAAAAACGAGCAGCGGGCAGCCATCCTTAGCCAGCCTCAGCCAGCAGCTTCTCCCGCGCCTGTGACTCTTGCAGCTGGCCCTGCAGCATCGCCAGCCTCGAAAACTCGAAGCCGTGACCAGCAGCGTAGTGTGACATGTTATCACACCCTCAATATTATCAGGGTCCAGATTGTGTCCATTTTGGGGTGATATCTGGGTGGAGGTCCAACGCCCCATGCCCCAAGATAAGTCTGTCAATCATTTTGCGAGGCGACCCCTTGTGGCGTGTTTTTTGAGGCACCAAAAGGTTCCAACTCGACTTGGCTGTAGTCGATGCCGGGCACGCTCTGCAAGCTGCCCTTTTCCATGAAATGCGAATGACCATTTGGCCAAAGGGTACCCTAGGGTTCGAAGCAAAGTGGCCACGGAGTGTTAGCCAACATGCAACACAGAACCAACAGCGAAAACACCACAACGCCACTATCTTTTTGGCTTAAACTCCGTGCCCTTGCGTTTCTTCGCTGAAGTGTAGTTCGGATCGAACACCACACTCCAGCGATGCTCACACAGCACCTTGTCCAAAGATCCGCCCTGGGCCAATGGCTTCGTCAGGGCGTCTGCTAGCTGTGCATCACTGTGCACCCATCTCACAGCTGTTCGGCCTGTCTTCAGCCTCTCCAGCAATGAGAGAAACTCTAGGGTTGAGTATTTCTCTTTCAGTCCGGCGCCTGCCGAATTCAGGTCACCTCGCTTCACCACGTCATAGAGACTCTTGGCGTCCGTGACCAGCGTGCCCTTCACCGCCTGCAATGCCTTCGTCATCTCTGCAGGAGGGATGTCCATGCCTAAGAGCTCACCCCACTGATACCGGGTGAACATCAGCTCTTCCTCACATTCACTCATGGCTTGCAACTCAGCACCCAGCGGGGATCTCGCCACCCGAGGAAGTCTGGCTGACCTCCATGCCACAATCGTCAATGGCGAGTTCTCGCCCTTGTCCATGCCCGGAGTGGTAGCGGCAATCACATAGCCGCCTGTGCTGCCATAGTCCTTGCGATTTCCAACCGCCGCATCGCACCAACCATAAAACTCCACATCCTCAGCAGGGCAGTGAAGCGCGTTCACCTTCACAGAGATCTGTCTCTGCTGTTGCACTTCACGTAGCAACTTGTTCATTGCCTTCACAGTCGCGATGGTCGCTGTGTTGACCTCTGACTGAATCAAAGACAGCCTTGCTGCATGCTGTGGCGCCGTATTGTAGCACCGCCATTGCAATGCACCAAGAAGTCCTCTGAGTTGACTGCGCTCCTTTTCCGTTACAGGAGAGTCATCATCCCGGGCCTCAAAGATGGCCGGCTCCAAGCTCTCCACGAACTTGGAATGATCCAGCGTGACTGAGAGGTCCTCGTTCTCCCGAAGCACCACACCACAATGAGTGAAAGTTCCATGCTCCCAGTCACTCCATTGATAGCGATCGTGGAAGATGTGCATGGCGTCCATCCAGGCTTCACACTGCTCATTGCCGATGACGATGAAGTCGTCCACATGAGCACATACAAGTCCTTGTGTTTCCTTGACACAGTCTACACCACTCGTGCAAAACCTCCAGCAACAGGGGTCTGTTACCAACCTTTCCAGTCCGGCTTTCTCCAGAGTGGCGGCCACGTCCGCGTACCATGAAGCCGGTGCTGTTATCAGACCATAACAGCTCTTCATGATCTGCACACACTCCCCTTCCTTTAACCCCATAGCTCGAGACAATTCAGGTAAGGGTCGTGCAAACAAACTGCGTCCGGCCTCAGAAGCCGAGCCTTGCAGAAACGCTGCCTTCACGTCTCCTTTCAACGCTCTCCATGAGCGGCACACCTTGAACTGTAACAGGAGCTGTCTCGTTCTCCTGCTCATCGTTGGTGATGCCGATGTGATCGTCCCGGTATGCGCATCTGGATCCTCATATCCCAGAAGCACAATGCGTGCCTTTGCTTTGCCAGTCTCCTTCAGAGTCAGCACCCACCGCATGCGAATGCATCTGGCTGAATCCACTTCCGTTGAGGCTCTCCACACTGCCTCATTGTGCAACCACTGTGAAATCTCTGCCTCCTTAGCTTCGTCAAACTCCTTCTTCTTCTGCTCAGTGAGCTGGTTCACATTGACCTCAGCTCCACGGATCTTCTTCACATAGAACGCCTCCGGCGAGTTCTGGAGTAACTTCCACTGCTTCCGGTTCTCCGGCATATCCATCTCCAGCTCAACGAAGTAACCGGTTGCGACATTCTCAGGATCAGTTGCTTCCAAAATGGCTCCACCGTCCTGCTCCTCGTTCATGTTCTCCACCACGTACCCTCGCTCAAGGGTCGGTCTCTCCGGCATCGGTTTCCGGGGACGCCCAACCTTCGGTCTTGCGAGCCTCTCCTGCTGTGCTTGAAATAGTGGCTGGCCAAAGAGCTCGCCTGTCTCCCCGGCTGCGGTAGATCCAGAGCCTCGTTCCATGGCTTCGGCCTCTACCTGGCTAAGGGGCTCTACCTCAATCCTATAGCGATCTTGCGCTACAGTGACGGTCGTTTCAAACTTTTTGGGCCTCTTCGGATCTTTTGCCTCTTGATTCTGTTCTTGCTGAAGTCTGCCTCTCGGATGTGCTCCTTCATCCTGGCTGACTTCACTGGGCTCTGCAGGGCCTCTTATTGGAGTCTTAGGAGCTGATGCACTTGGGAGTGGCCGTGTCTCCGCATCAGTCCGTGGGACAGCAAGTCCTCTTTTTCGGCTCTTGTACAAGTCTTCTTCTTCAGAATCTACTCCAGAGGCTACTCCGACCTGCCTGCTAGGGGTTCTAGACCGTCGCCTCTCGAGATGCTGCTGCTTCGCAAACCTGCATCTCAAGATCCTCAGGAAACATGCGGTTGTCGAAGCGATCATACTGGCCGCTCTCAACACCCTGCAGCAAGCTGTGAAACGTCCACGAGGCAACCGGAGAATCCACATGATCTGCGATGGCCTTCTCTCTCGCTCACTTGCATGCCTAAGCTGATGAGGCGCATCTCTTCAAACGGGCGCCGGTGACAATCCACACCACATTGTGTGGCCTCCTCTCTTCTCCTGCCAGATCTGTTCTCGTCTCCGTGGCGAGAACCCTTGCAGGTCCCCACCATCTCCACAGCTTCTGACTCACCATGAGATTGGCCGGCGAATCAGCTGGTGGTTTCACCCTCTTGTAGTAGACCAAGTCCCCCGGCAGGAAACGAGCTTGAGGTCGTCCTCGCGTATTCAAGGCTCTCGAGATCTTGTCTTGGGCTTGACTTTTCCGGTACACACTCTCCGCACGCAACCGCAGCTGCAAATTCTTCTGCATAGAATGTCCAGGAGTGCCTTGGGACCCAAACAACCTCCCAGACAAAGTGAACTGCCTCCCAAACACCCATTGACATGGTGAGAAACCTTGCACCCTCTCCATGGTGTTGTGGGCAGCCACCACTGAAGTCAGTGCGCCGAACGGGTCTACCGCCTCCTGGCCGTTCAGAACCGTCCGAACATCTTGCTTGAGCTTCCTGATGAGTGACTCAACCTCGCCAATCTGCTCGTGGGCCTCTGCAGCACATGGCATCAATTCGATGCCCCTGTCCTCACACCAGGACAGCAACAGATTGGATCGATACGAACCTTCCGGATCTAGTCGAATCTTGCTTGGCAATCCATAGTGCATGGTCCAATGCGTCTCCAAGGCCTTGACCATCTCTTCAACGGTTGTGTTCGACGTTCCTCCGAAAGATCTCGGCGGCTACCGCATACTTTGAAGCCTCGTCCAAGATGATGATCACATGGACCACTGTGTCTCCATACTTGATCTCGGCCCCATCGAGCACAATCGTCTTCCACAGAACTCCT